CTGGAGCTACCAAGAGGAGTTTGGCTCCGTCCCCTTTGTAACTGCTCTGGAAGTAGCTGCAGGTTGGGTCACCCCAGCCGCCTGTGGGCAGTGGGAAACAGGCACGGCTCCCTCGTCAGAGGCCTCCTCACAGGGTGGATCCTGTAATTCTGCATCTCGGGTGGGCAGGAGCCCTGAGCTGAGAATTTCGGTGTTTAGCTCAGTTTGAGCCTTTTCACAGGGCGTATTTAGAGCAGGTTCCGGTGCTTCTGAAGCGTGATCTCAGGTGGCCACGGCAGGCAGCTCTTCTGCGGTCTGAGCCGTGGATCCTGGGGATCGCAGAGGCCGCGGGTGAGAACGAACCCGTTTTCTGCTCCTCCAGGTGCAGATCAAGACAGCCCGGCGGCGAGTGGTGATGGCGTCGCTGTACCTGGGCACGGGGCTCCTCGAGCAGGAGCTGGTGAGTGTGGAAAGGGGCTGGGGAGGGGAGAGGAGAGGGCGAGTGCCAAAAGAAAACGCCTCTGCGATGGCGTCCTGTTCCTGCAGGTACAGGAGGTGCAGTCTGTGAGCTCGTAACGGCTGTAAAACCTTCAGGCAGGGACTCTGCGCCGGCGTTTTCTCCTCTCCTGGAGCTTTCTCGGGGCTCCTGCCTGCGCCTGTGACTTGTGGGCACGGGCAGGGAGGAATTTGGGAGGGAGGAATCTGGGAGGGACAGAGCCCGGAACTGCTGCCCGTTTTCAGGGGATGATGAGCCTGGCTCACGTCAGGGGTTGCTGGTTCAAAGGGGTTTTGCAGAACTGCGGGATCGCGGGGAATGGTTTTTTCCTGGCGTTTTCCCTGAACACGACTGAGGCTGCGTGTGGGCAGCGCTGTGCTCTGTGCTCTGTGTGCTGCCTGCAGATGCAGCGATGGCCAGAGGTCAGTTTGGCCGGGGGGTGGTTACCTGCTCACTTTTCCTGTCCTTGCTCTGGAGACGAGCAGGACCACGGGCGTGCAGGGAGCCTGCCCCGGGCCGGCCGGGGTGAGGGTGGGCAGCTCAGGGCTGTGTGCCTGCCTCTGTCCGCTGAGTTTGCAGGAGACAACAACTACAACAGCCTTGTAGTCAGGGAGTGAACCTGCACCACTGGAGAACTCCTCCCAAGGCTTCTCTTTGGTAGTGCAAACCTGGGCAGGCTGCTGGGACCTTTTCTGCTGGTGTGACTTGCTGCTCAGAGGCTTGAATGTGCGTCTGTAGAGTTGCTGTATCCGGGCTGCTGGAGCAGGACAGCGGTGTCACAGCCGCAGAGTCTAAACCAGCAGCGTTTCCCTGAGCAGGACGGACTCGTGCGGGGCTGTGGGAGCTCCCCTGGCCCCAGCCTCGCGCTCTCCTCACAGAGCTGCGTGTGCTCCCTGTAATGAGCAGTGGAATCTCTCTGCAGGTGGACTGCCTGGAGGAGACGCTGGAGAAATCGCTGCAAGCAGAAGGGTCCGCTGACCTCAGAGTTTCCATTCTCCTGGACTACACCAGGGGGTCTCGGGGTAGGTGTCACAGCGCCGTGCTTTCCTCAAAGGCTTCTTCTGCAGTTCGGGTAAGCCGCTTTTTTCAGAGAGCGGTCGTACTTATTTGTTGTTACTTGTTTAAATCGTACGGCTTTCACAACTGCCCTTTAGTGCAGCAGGAACTGGTTGTTCCCAGAACATCTCCAGTCTGAGCAGCTCTTCTGCAAACAGGAGCGAGGAGGGCCGGGCTCTGCGCTGCGCGACTCGTGCTTTCTTGCTTCGTTCACCCGTCGGTGCATTGCCCTTGTCCGTCGTGCTCTTACGTTGTCGTGTTTCGAGGAAGGTGGCAGCTGAAGCACACTTACTCAGACACTCTTTGTAGCACGTGCAGCTCGTGCCAGGCGTGGCTGCACTGAGGAGCGTGCACGGCGTCAGAGCTGCTCCGTGCCCGTCTCCAGGGCCCGCTCGTCAAGCAGTTACAGTCCTGGACGTCGATTTCAGTGCTGACACAGTGCAAACGAGGGTGGTTTAAAACGCTGAGCGCTGTGGTTGTGTGTGAAACCGCCCTCGTCTCTGCAGGCAGGAAGAACTCTCGGACGATGCTGATTCCCTTGCTGCAGCGATTCCCCGAGCGAGTCCGTGTGTCGCTGTTCCACACCCCCAACCTGCGGGGGCTGCTCAGGCTCTTGATTCCCGAGCGCTTCAACGAGACCATTGGGCTGCAGCACATCAAGGTCTATCTCTTCGACGATAACGTCATCCTGAGCGGGTGAGTCCTGCCCCACCAGCCCTGCTCGGGCTCCTGTGGCCGAGGGCTGGGGCAAGGCGTGCGTGGTGCCAGCGCTGTCCCAGCTTCGTTATTTGTGCCCGGCCTTTCCGTGGCGGTCGTGTCAGTGCTCTCCTGAGCTGCAAGAGCAAGCGCAGCTCTTCCACATGGGATTC